AGACAACAACCCATGGCCTATTTAAAGAACAATAACTTCATAATCGGAAAATACTTTTAGCTCAACTGTGGGAAAAGAAACAGATACAGTGGTACCTAGGGTTACATACTGTTCAGGTTACATAAGCTTCAGGTTACAGACTCCGCTAACCCAGAAATAGTACCTCGGGTTAAGAACTTTGCTTCAGGATGAGAACAGAAATCGTGCTCCGGCGGTGTGGCAGCAGCAGGAGGCCCCATTAGCTAATATGGTGCTTCAGGTTAAGAACAGACCTCTGGAACAAATTAAGTTCTTAACCTGAGGTTAAGAATTGTGACAAAGTGGATTTATTGTGACAAAGTGGATTTATTCATCTCCTTGATCAACATAGCTAGCTCATGAAAATGTGAATTAATCGCCTTTGCTCATCTGCAGGCAGAATACATCACTTGTGACCAAGCCTCTTATATCTGGGTAGATCTATTAGTATTCTCACTCCAAAATCTCAGAGACAGAGGCAGAGAAAAGGAAATGGGAGGAAGCGGGATTATCTTGACAACCCGTGGAAGATTCACGCACAAGGAAGTCTGCCTCTGTTCACTTTGAAATTGTATTTAAAAGAAAAACATGCTCCACTCATACTCTAGAAACAAAATGAGATTGCTGATATACTCATGCAGCCACGAAATGGGTGAGACCAGAGTCAATGGCAGACAGAGGCAGCTCTTTTTCTACTTTTGTCCCCATCCTCCTTCTTCCTGAACTGAACATCTCCCCCATCCCTAAAAATGCAGGCATTTTGCAGAATGACCATTTTGAAAATGAGTTTGCTCAGTTCCTGAAGTATTAGTCTCTTTGGCCCACTTCAATAACAGATGATTTAATTTCATGGCATACAAATTTCTCCTAAGTGGTAGGATTATAAATCTTTATTACAGAAATCCAAGGAAATTTGTGTTTGAGATGAAAATTGGCACCACAACTTCCCACACCTCTGGGGCATAAAATGTGATAATTCTTTGTAGAAGCTTATTATGCTTAATTGCCATGGAAGGTCTGGAGGGCACATAAATTTGCACATGGCTCTAAGTTTGCTGCTATGAATACATAGGAGCATGTGGGAATGTTGCCTTCAACCTGCTCATGGGTCAGATAACCCCATGTCATGAAGTAGTGATCCTTTGAGCAGGTATTGCTGGGTGGGGCCCCTCAGGCAGGTGGGAACAATTAGTTCTAACAGCGGGAGCATGTGATGGGGCTGGTTGATTGCCAGCATTCCCCAGCCCCTATAAATCTTCAATTTAACCTCCACGAGGAGGCAGAGAACATGCCATGTATTACTGAGGGCCTTCTTGGTAGTGGCACCTGCCCTGTGGAACACCCTCCCATCAGATGTCAAGGAAATAAACAACGACCTGACTTTTAGAAGACATCTGAAGGCAGCCCTTTTTAGGGAAGTTTTTAATGTTTGCTGTTTTATTATGTTTTTATATTCTGTTGGGAGCCACCCAGAGTGGGATATGTATGTATGTATGTATGTATGTATGTATGTATGTATGTATGTAAAGGTAAAAGGTAAAGGGACCCCTGACCATTAGGTCCAGTCGTGGACGACTCTGGGGATCTGGTGTTCATTTCACTTTATTGGCCGAGGGAGCCAGTGTACAGTTTCCGGGTCATGTGGCCAACATGACTAAGCCGCTTCTGGCGAACCAGAGCAGCGCACGGAAACGGCATTTACCTTCCCACCAGAGTGGTACCTATTTATCTACTTGCACTTTTTGACGTGCTTTCGAACTGCTAAGTTGGCAGGAGCAGGGACCAAGCAACGGGAGCTCACCCCATCACGGGGATTCGAACCACCGACCTTCTGATCCGCAAGTCCTAGGCTCTGTGGTTTAATCCACAGCGCCACCCACGTCCCTTATGTAGGTATGTATAAATATTAAGACTTGCTATTTGATGTCCTGTAGCTGGTGCTGGAGAAAAAGCCAATAAAATCTGGTAACCCATTCATTGCCTGCAAGTGATTGATTAGCAGCTTGGAGGGAAGATTCAGGAAAGCGACCCCCTCCTTGGCACTCCATACCCTTCAACATTTCTCCAATGAAACTAGGGACATCCTAAAGAAAAGTGGGAACATTCCAGGATCAAATCAGAAACCGGGATGGCTTCTCTAAATCAGGCATGTCCCTGGAAAACAGGGACACTTGGAGGGTATGAAATACTCGCAGGAGGGGGAGGGGAGCAATGTGTGCCTGTCAATCACTACCCCTCCTTAGGAAGCTCCGATTAATTACAAGTTCCACCTTCTGTGTTTTCCTCCTTTCTTCTCACAGAACTGAGTGAAACACTGATTCCTGATGGTGGATTTCAGCCAGGCTGAAAGACTGAGCTCACCTAATTTTACAGCAGGGAGTGACTAGGAGAGCACTGTCAATGTGTCATTGAAGTATGGTAATTACTCCTTTTGCACCTCAGGTGTAATTCCTAACTACTGTCTGGAAGAACAGGCTATAACAATACCCTGCAGCAATCTGGCATAAAAACCTCAAAGGAATGGAGTGGAGTCAAAATAGAAAGCCACAAAACTGCATGGCTTCTAGCTTGACAGCAGAGGGAGATATTCCTCTTAAGATTAGAGAGTAGCACGAGGGAGGGAGAGAGTGTTGTATCAGCTGCATTCGAAATGGAGCCTCTGTGGATGACAGCAGTCTACCCCTAAAGCACAGGCGCTAGGGCCAAACGACAGGGATAACTGGTGCCTTTGGACCTCTCATGGGAGGATCTGACTGGTCACAGTTGGAAGGAGGATACTGGATGAACTGGGTTGTGGTCTGGCAAAGCAATTCTCCATTAAGGGTTTTTCTGCTCATCCACTAGAGCCTTCTACACCTGAGTAGTAGTGTTGGCTACACATATAACGAATAGCTGGCCCAATTACAGTGGCACCTTGGTTGTTGAACTTAATCCATTCCAGGAGTCCATTCGACTCCCGGAACTGTTCGAAAACCAAGGCCTGGCTTCCAATTGGCTGCAGGAGCTTCCTGCACTCAATCTGAAGCCGTGTAGGACGTTTGGCTTCTAAAAAACATTCACAAACCAGAACACACACTCCTGGGTTTGCGGTGTTCGGGAGCCAATTTTTTTGGGAGTCAAGCCATTCAACAACCAAGATGCCACTGTAGAATCATAGAACTGTAGAGTTGGAAGGGACCATGAGGGTCATACAGTCCAACCCCCTTCAATCCAGAAACCTTTTGTCCAATGTGGGGCTCAAACCCACGACCCTGAGGTTACGAATCTCTTGCTCTACCAACACAAACACACACGATTGAGGAGTGTCATTATCATGTCCTCCCTGTGATCTTCATGGAGGCATCTGGTAGGTCAGGTGTTAGAAACAGGGCAGAAAAGAGCAGTCAGAATGATCAAGGAGGTGCTTATAAAATTATGTAGGGCAGAAAGTGGATACTAGCTCATGGACAACCTGATCAAACAGTCTTATGTTCTTGTTTGAGGCTTGTCCATTAGGACAAATGTGGAACTACCCCCCTAACCATAGTCTGCCCTTCTTACTGGCAGACACTCCAGATTTGGGGAGCTGCCTGTCACCTTCCTCCTCCTTAACCTCAGTGTTGCCCTTATATAACTCAGCAGAAAGGGGGATGGGGAGAAAACAAGCTTTAGCTGGCTCTCCCTGTCATTGGCTCTGATGCAACCTACAGTTTCGGCTTCAATGGAAAAATAGGGGCTCAAATCCCCACTCAGCCATGACTTTCACTGGGTGACCTTAAGCCAGTCACCATTTCTCATCCTAAGCGATCTCACAAGTTTGTTGTGAGAAGCGGGCACATCACATGTATCACCTTGAACTCCTCAAATGAAAGGGAGAGCATAGATGCAAGAAAGAAAGAAATATATTATATGCTGCTAGTGGGCTCCCCTAGGGACGCGGGTGGCGCTGTGGGTTAAACCTCAGCGCCTAGGACTTGCCGATTGCATGGTCGGCGGTTCGAATCCCTGCGGCGGGGTGCGCTCCCGTTGCTCGGTCCCAGCGCCTGCCAACCTAGCAGTTCGAAAGCACTCCCTAGTGCAAGTAGATAAATAGGGACCGCTTACCAGCGGGAAGGTAAACGGCGTTTCTGTGTGCGGCTCTGGCTCGCCAGAGTAGCTTCGTCACGCTGGCCACGTGACCCGGAAGTGTCTGCAGACAGCGCTGGCCCCCGGCCTATAGAGTGAGATGGGCGCACAACCCTAGAGTCTGTCAAGACCGGCCCGTACGGGCAAGGGTACCTTTACCTTTACCTAGTGGGCTCCCCAGATGAATCTGCTCTGCCACTAGAGTGGTACCTCGGGTTACAAACGCTTCAGGTTACAGACTCCGCTAACCAAGAAATAGTACCTCGGGTTAAGAAATTTGCTTCAGGATGAGAACAGAAATCGCACGGCGGCAGCGGGAGGCCCCATTAGCTAAAGTGGTCCTCAGGTTAAGAACAGTTTCAGGTTAAGAACAGACCTCCAGAACGAATTAAGTTCTTAACCCGAGTTACTACTGTATGTGATATAAGATGCTGAACTAGATAGCCCTTGGGCTTGATGAAAAGCTTTCCACAGAGCATACATTTTTCTCTCTCTTTCCCCTTGTGATGTGGAATATTTTTTAATGAAAAATTAGATTTCAAAAAGCTCTGGCCCTCTAAACATTGTTGGACTACAGCGCCAATAATTCCCCAGCCAATTCCCCAACATGACCAATGCTCAGGGAAGATGGGGTTTATAGTCCAAAAATATCTTTGTTGGCCAAAGGCTCCCCCACGTGAGTCATAGAGCAGGAGTATTCAAAGAAGTGCCCTCCATATGTTCTGGAGCTCCAAGTCCCATCATCTCTAACCATATGACAACTTGGGTGAGACGAATTTGACGTGGAGACCAACAAATTCTGTAAGATGCCACACTGGCTACCTTGTGACAGAGGATGAAGTGAAAGGAGGGGAAGAAAACTCAACAGAAACATTCTATAATATGCTGAAAACTTTAATGTGAAAATGAAGGAAGGAGTCAGTGGAAATGACTCAGGGCAGCTGGAGATAAATGCAACATGGAACACTGAAAAAACAATAATCAGACATGTTGACATGTAGACATCACAAAGACAAAGCTAATAAATCACTGTAGGCTAAGCCAACAGGGTTTACCACCAGTCTTCACTTTGGCCATGTTGACTTAGTATCTTTCATAGTTGAAGTAGCTGTGGTAGAGGGTCCTGGTTCATCAGTAATGGGTAGAATAGAAGGTGATAGGTGTGGCTGGGAAACAGGAGCCTGCTCTTAAGATAAGCATGCCAAGACAGGTTGCACAGTGGGGATTCTGGAGCACTCAGCATTTCTGAATACCATGTTCATTCATTAAGCCGAGGATCAGAATCTTGAGACCAGAATCTTCTTCCTTGGATGTTCCGTCAGTGTTGTTTCTGAGATTAACATGGCCAGCCTTTTCCTTGGTAGGAAGCTCGGCCAAAAGGGACACAAATCCTTATGACACGGTACCCTGGAGGACACGGCAGACCAGGATAGCAGGGGATGCACCCTGTGATGGGGCGATACCCCCGAGGACATCCCCAACTCCGGCCAGGAAACTGTGGACGTTGTGGGTAGCAGCCTGGATACTGATAAGAGAAGGAGTCAAGGCTGGAGTGAGCATCCATTTCTGGCTCATAGAAGTCTTCCAAGAACATACTGTCATTCAGGAAAGACATGTTGGAGCAGGGAGGGTAGATCTGAAATGACATTTGGATGCAGCAATTATGATCTACTATTATTGGATTAAAAGAGAGGTGCAGAACCTCAGATCCAGGTGCCAACTACAGGCCCCTCTAACTAGCCCTCCAAACTCTTCCCAAGTCACACATCCTTCTTGAGAGCCATACCCCCTTTTCTCTATAGTTCAAAGGTCTCACTGACCCTGCTTCAAATCCCATTTATTTTTTGCCTGCCTAGAAGGTGTTCTTAAAATCGGTCAATTCCTCTCACTTTTCTGAAAGGAAGAGACAGAGGAGTGTGCAATTGCATGCAGAAATTTGCCCACTGCAGAAAAGGTGATTTACATTAATAACTCCTCCCTCTTTTGTCTCTGGCGTCTCCCACCATTGGCTATATGTCTATCAGAGAGAGGGGTGGGAAGAGAGAAAATTGGCCCAAGTTCCTGATCTTAGTTGTACATCTGACCAAAGGCTCATCCAGTCTAGCATCCTGTTCTCACAGTGGCCAGTGAGAGGACCCAATGGGAAGACCATAAAGAGAACCTTGTTGAAACAGCACTCTCTACATTGCTGTTTCCCAGCACTGGCATTCAGAGGCTTCCCTGCTTCTGAAACTGGAGATCTATCATAGGTAACCTGGTATAGCAAGGACACTGTTACCTAAATCTGCGACTGATCTCCCTTGTGGTGGGATTCCATGGCAAGAATGAATGCCTCTGCAATACATTGCATCCACCTTCTCAAAGCATGTTGCTTTCCTTCTACTGCATCTCTTCCATTGCATAACGAGAATGTACCCACTTGAGGAAGGGGCCATAGCTCAGTGGCTGAGCATCTGCTTTGCATGCAGAAACTCCTAGTTTCAATCCCCAGGATCTCCAGGTAGGGCAGGAAGAGTTATTAAATTCCCATAACTCAAGTGGCTCATCATATTATTTTTTTCCATGCAGAAGGTTCCACGTTCAACCACCAGCATCTGATGATAGGACTGGGAAGGGCCCGGTCTGAAATCCTGGAGAACACTTGTTGGTGAATGTAGACAGTACTGTACTGAGCTAGGTTGACCACTGATCTGACTCTGTAGAGGAGAGCTCCCTCTGTTCCGTTTGAACCCCCCAAATTCCCCAAAATTTTCTCTGTAGGAAATATTTTTAGGGACCTAGTGTCTCCAAACAATTCAGCTATGCCAAATTCAGAGACTCTTTTCTTATGTGTCTCCAAACAATTTCAGCTATGCCAAAGAGACCTTGTGTCTAAACAATTTCAGCTTGCCAAATTCAGAGACTCTTTTCTTATGAAGACTAGAACACCCATGAAATGGTGACCATTCATGAGAGGCATCTGAACACCAAACCACAGTTTGACAGAAACACTCGTTTTGAATATTCCTCCAGAATTTGGTGCAGGGGAAAAGTTGAACATTTATCTCAACATTTCACTCTGGGTAAAATTCAGTGGTGAGAAAAAATATCAAGTTAGTCTGATATTTAACAACCTACAGAGAAGAGAAGTATTTCTATAAGCAAGAAACCCACAAACAGGGAACAATTTACCTGGCTTCCTGCTGGATCCAAAGAGATACTTTCAGAGTATCAGATGCTTCTGGAACAATCTGTTGGGAGACATCCCTTTTTATATGGTTTGTTGGCGTGCATAGAGGAAATAACTCTTGCTCAATTCCAGGAAATAAAAATTAATCGTTAGATCTTTAATTGTCAGCTGTTTCACTGAAGCGCCCTAATTATTTTGACTTCCCTGTTTCACAAAGGAAACAGGTAAACAGTGTGGGCTGGTGGTGTGGGAAGGGTGTCTGAGATTACTCGATAAAGCTGGGATTCCATATCAGCTGAACATAATGGAGCTTACTTCCGAGTAGACACATGAGGATTGTGCTGAAAGGGTTTTTTTTAGAATACATTGAAGAAGATTTTCAGCTGCTTATTCCCCCTCCCTGTTCTATAAGAATATTATCAGGGGGTGGGGAACCTGTGGCCCTCTAGATGTTGCTAGACTCCAGATCCCATCATCCTTAACAATCAGCCGTGCTGGCAGGCACTGATGTGACGTTTATTTATTTATTTATTTAACCAAATTGCTGAATCATTTAATCAAAACCTTCTGTAAGAAAAAAAAATAGTAGGTTACAAGCACTGCTAAAAGCTATAAAACTATGGAGAAGAGGAATGCATTATCCTTAACATGCAAATACAATAAGGAAACATTGCAAATACACACACACACACACACACACACAAAACTAACTCAACCTGGTAGGCTTGGTGAAATTAAAATTTATCCCTTTTGTAAACCACTTTGAGGCTTTTTTTAAAAAAACAATGAAGCGGCATATAAATGTCACGTGATAAATTAATAATAATAATAATAATAATAATAATAATTTGTACCCCGCCCATCTGGCTGGGTTTCTCCAGCCACTCTAGGCGGCTTCCATAGAAACCAAAAAAACACAAAAATATCACAGATTAAAAACTTCCCTGATCAGGGCTGCCTTAAGATGTCTTCTGAATGTCAGGTAGTTATTTATCGCTTTGACATCTCATGGGAGGGCGTTCCACAGGGCGGGCGCCACTACCGAGAAGGCCCTCTGCCTGGTTCCCTGTAGCTTTGCTTCTCGCAATGAGGGAACCGCCAGAAGGCCCTCGGCGCTGGACCTCAGCGTCCGGGCAGAACGATGGGGGTGGAGACGCTACTTCAGGTATACTGGGCCGAGGCCGCTTAGGGCTTTAGACGTCAGCACCAACATTTTGAATTGTGCTCGGAAACGTACTGGGAGCCAATGTAGGTCTTTCAAGACCAGTGTTATGTGGTCTCGGCAGCCGCCCCCAGTCACCAGTCTAGCTGCCACATTCTGGATTAGTTGTAGTTTCCGAGTCACCTTCAAAGGTAGCCCCATGTAGAGCGCATTGCAGTAGTCCAAGCAGGAGATAACTAGAGCATGCACCACTCTGGCGAGACAGTCCGCAGGCAGGTAGGGTCTCAGCCTGCGTACCAGGTGTAGTTGATAGACAGCTGCCCTGGATACAGAATTGACCTGCGCCTCCATGGACAGCTGTGAGTCCAAAATGACTCCCAGGCTGCGCACCTGGTCCTTCAGGGGCACAGTTACCCCATTCAGGACCAGGGAGTCCTCCACACCAGCCCGCCCCCTGTCCCCCCAAAACAGTACTTCTGTCTTGTCAAGATTCAACTTCCAATTTAAAAATTTTTCAGCCTTCCTGATAGGAATAGGCAAGGAGTTCCATAGCACTGCGCTACCACACTGAAAGACCAAATCATTGCAGTTGCAGGAGGAAGATTGTGTAGCACAGATCTTATTTATTTATGTTAACAACACTCAGCTGGGCCTGGATGGTTTGTATTCTCAGGAGTAAGCTTGCATTCACAAGTGGGGTTGCACCCCTGCTGGCTCTGCTGGCCAACCCCCCTCCTGTTCTCTCTTCATTAACCCCCTAATGTCAGGGCTGGTTCAGCTGCAGGTCAGAATTGAGACTCAGAGCAATAATGATGATTCTTTATTCGAGGAAACAGAATACAAAGAAAGAAACCTCTGGCAAGACTGACCCCTAATAAAACAGTTGCCAGAACTGTTGACCTGAGCCTCCCAGTTCCCCTTAAGTCTTCCTCTCTCCAGCTGTTTCCCCTGCAGTCTTTAAACTCCATCAGCGAGGGGGTTGCCCTGCGACCTCTGGGTTCCTTGTTCTGCAAAATGCAAAGCCCTCCGTGCCCTTGGAGACAAGAGCGGAGGGGAGTTGATTACAGTAGGAATGGCAGGGTCCTGAGAATCTGTAGCAGCCTCAGCTCTCACCTCCTCCTCAGCTGCCTGTCCTACATCGGCAGAGCTTTCTGCCTGTTCTTCGTCTCTCTCACTCAAGCCTGTTGCTTTTTCAGCATCCAAGGATTCTGCCCCACTCCACTCCTTCATCCTCTGACTTGTCTTCATTATCCCACCACCACTCCCCTGGCTCTGGGCCTTCCTCTTCTGAAGCTTCCTTATGGGTTCTACGAACAGAGTCTCCCACCATTCCTCATCATCCTTCCCTAACACCTAAAGCTCCCCCTTCCCGCTCCATGCAACTACAGAAATGCCAATGCAGGCTGCATGATGACAGCCTTACATTTCTATTTATATCAGAAGATAAGTTATTTGCACTGTGACATCATAATGTTGCTTTTACAGTTTGACTGTTCAGGCATTGACTGCTGTGCTAAACATGCTCTGCTCCCAAATATATGGCTTCTGTTTGAAACATTGGCATGGTGCCATGACATCGCAGCACATCACAGACAGTAGTTTGTTTATTTTTAATGGAACATTTGTGATAGGAAAAGTTTTGAAGTGTTTTCTGGAAGCGTCAGACCTTGCACAGATTGCTACTCATGCCTGAAAGCTTTGACTGTGCAGATCAACGAGAATGCAGAATACAGTGGTACCCCGCAAGACGAACGCCTCGCAAGACGGAAAACCCGCTAGACGAAAGGGTTTTCCGTTTTGGAGGCGCTTCGCAAAACGAATTTCCCTATGGGCTTGCTTCGCAAGACGAAAGCCCATAGGGAAATCTCCGGGGACCTCTTTTAAATGCTAGCGGTGGGGAGCAAAGCCTTTCCCCCCCCTCCGGCCTTCAGAAGAGGTCCAGGAAGGCTGGTGGGGCCGAAAGGCTTTGCTCCCCAGCGCCAGCATTTTAAAAGCAGTCCGGGATAGCAGGGAAGCGCTTCCCGCTATCCCGGACGGCTTTTGAAGGCAGGAGAGATCCGCGAAGCCTGGACGCGCTGATGTCAGCGCGCCCAGGCTTCGGCATGCCGGCAACTCTCCGCCAGCAGCGGGAACGTTCCCGCTGCTTGTGGAGAGATCCGCGAAGCCTGGACGCACTGAGGTCAGCGCGCGCAGGCTTCGGGATGCCGGCAACTCTCCCCAAGCAGCGGGAACGTTCCCGCTGCTTGTGGAGAGATCCGCGAAGCCTGGACGCGCTGAGGTCAGCGCGCGCAGGCTTCGGGATGCCGGCAACTCTCCCCAAGCAGTGGGAACGTTCCCGCTGCTTGTGGAGAGATCCGCGAAGCCTGGACGCGCTGAGGTCAGCGCGCGCAGGCTTCGGGATGCCGGCAACTCTCCCCAAGCAGCGGGAACGTTCCCGCTGCTTGTGGAGAGATCGCGAAGCCTGGACGCGCTGAGGTCAGCGCGCACAGGCTTCGGGATGCCGGCAACTCTCCCCAAGTAGCGGAACGTTCCCGCTGCTTGTGGAGAGATCCGCGAAGCCTGGACGCGCTGAGGTCAGCGCGCGCAGGCTTCAGGATGCCAGCAACTCTCTGCCAGCAGCGGCATCGCTGCCGCTGCTTGCGGAGAGGTCCGCGAAGCCTTGGCCGGACAGCTTTTGAAGGCAGGCGGGGGGAGCAAAGACTTTCGCCCCCGCCAGCCTTCAGAAGAGGTCCAGGACCTCTTCTGAAGGCTGGTGGGGGGCAAAAGTCTTTGTCCCCCCTGCCTGCCTTCCCAGGGGCTTTTAAATCGCCCCGGACAGCGGAGAAGTCCTCCGCTGTCCCGGGGCGATTTTAAAATGCCGCCCGCCAGCATTTTAAGATCGCCCCGGACAGCGGAGAAGCCCTCCGCTGTCCCGGGGTTTTTTAAAATGCTGGGGGTGGGAAGAAAAGCCCTTGTCCCCCCCCCAGCCTTCAGAAGAGGTCGGGGGACAGACTGTCCCCGGACCTGGTCTGAAGTCAGTTTCCCTAGGAACGCATTAATTGATTTTCAATGCATTCCTATGGGAAACCGTGCATCGCAAGACGAAAAACTCACAAGAAGAAAAAACTTGCGGAACGAATTAATTTCGTCTTGCGAGGCACCACTGTACACTTGAGAGTGCAAACCATCTTGAATGTGCAATGAAAAAGAGGACTGTAGTGGGCCTAGATCAGAAAATGACACCCTATCACTACTCTTTCCAGTCTTTTGAAGAGTCTCATCATTTGATTATTTGGCAAGCAATGAAAACTGGCATCCTCAACAGGTGTTTTAGTTTTATTAGTTTGGCACACAGACATGCTCTGTTAGAGCGTCAGTGGGCGAAGCCGTTTCTTCTTCACACACCTTTTACTGGAAAGGAATGAAGAAACCAGAAATAATTGGGCGTATGGCTGAGCTTATGAAAGGCATTTCTTAGATGAGATGAGGAGAGCGATCTTCTACAGAGCACACCTTCTATAGGTCCTAAAACGAAGACTCAGCCTGAGTCATAGAAACACCTCCATCCAAAATGTCTGCAAGCCTGAAGGCACATGAAATGGTTGAGAAAATTCACTCATTATCTGGGCAGTGCACACTAAATAGTATCTGAGTCCTAATCGGAGAGCATCTCATCTGACTCAGGATGATGCTGTGCTGACACATCCCCAGCTGAATTTGACAGGGAGCATGCACATTTTAATTAGGGTTTAAACAGTCTCTCCATATTGGGTTAGGACATTGTCAGCACTCCACGCATCCACACTGGTGACCACATGCTTGAGGTGGTAGATGATTTTGTCTACCTGGGTTCCACCATAGCCAGCAACCTTTTCACCGACAATGAGCTGGACAAGCGTACTGGCAAGGCCAATCATATTGGCAAGCCAGGGTATGGGGGAATGTGATGCTAACATCCACTAGCAAGATGAAGGTCTACTAGGCTTGCATGTTGAGCATGCTGCTTTATGGAAGTGAGTCTTGGGCAACTTACAGCTGCCCCAAAGCAATGCCTCAATGCCGTCCACATGCAGGCAATGGTTTTGGGCATCACGTAGCAGGACTGAGTCCCCAAACAAAGATGTGTTCTCCCAAGCCCACATTTCCAGCATGTTTGCACTGACGTCTACTCTAGTTCAGTCACGTCCACAGAATGGAAGATGGCAGGTTCCCCAAGGACATGCTCTGTGGGGAGCTGGATTCTGGCACCAAGCCTATTGGCTGACCAACTCTTCTTTACAAAGATGCCTGTAAGCCTACATGAAGGCTGGCAACCACAGCCTGCTGTGTGGGAATCCCTTGAAGATGATTGCAGGGCCTGGAGATCAACAGGTCATGCATCCACAGCAGTGACCAGAAGAGGAATGACCACTAGGAGTTGCACAGAAAGAAGAAATGCCATGGTGCATCTTCAGCAGGACAACCGGATGCCTTCATCTGCCCCAGCTGCCAGCAAAAACTTGTTTTACTCACATTGGTCTCTGCAGTCACAGCAGGAGCTATAACCTTCCAGCAGTTTCACACCACCCCCAAAAGCACACTCCTGAGACATGCAGATGCCAACCAACCTTCTCTCCCCAGCACCACATGTTGAACCATAATTAGACATCCATTTTGGGGGGAGGGAGAAGTGGTGGTGGTTGGCAGGGTGTGGTAGGGTGGCTTACTTGTCTTCCCAATGCCACACATCGCTGCACCTAACCAACAGGAGAAGTGGTGAGGTAGCAGGAAACCTGATGGGTTGAAATGAAGGGGAGCAATGCCACCATATCGGCCACTGCTGGAGAGAAGGAAATGCAGACATCTCCTTCTCCCTTCCATTCTCACTGCAAGATCCCCACCACCACTACTCTTTGATAGTATCAGATGATGATGATGATGATGATGATAATTTATTTATACCCCACCCATCTGGCTGGGCTTCCCCAGCCACTCTGGGTGGCTCCCAACAGAATATTAAAATACAATAGTCTATTAAACTTTAAAAGCTTCCCTAAACAGGGCAGCCTTCAGATGTCGTCTAAAAGTCTGGTAGTTGTTTTTCTCTTTGACATCTGGTGCGAGGGCGTTCCACAGAGCAGGTGCCACTACCGAGAATGCCCTCTGCCTGGTTCCCTGTAATTTGGCTTCTCGCAGTGAGGGAACCACCAGAAGGCCCTTGACAATGGACCTCAGTGTCTGGGCAGAACGATGGGGGTGGAGACGCTCCTTCAGGTATACTGGACCAAGGCTGTTTGCTCATGGTGGATCCATTCTGACATGGAGTAATACGGCTCAATCTCAACTCTATCCAGCTGAATCCCAGGTGGACAGGGGTGACGTCTATGTGGGACCATGGGGACTGAGCCCCACCCAAAAAAAATTCAATGCAGGGGCTGGTCTTCCCTAAAGTTCTACAGTGGTGCGTGCACACAACGTGCTGACGTCATGCACACATGGTGCAAGGCATGCACACACGACGTGGTGACATTGTGTGGCCCCTCAATCACGAAGGCAAGGTGGCACACCTATAGGTGGACCTAATTCAGTTTGGGATCTGGGCACCAGCTGGATCCAATGCACAGCCATATTCATTTTCCAGAATCTCCCTGGAATTCTTTCAGAGGTGTTGCCAGACTAGAACTACCCACCCACTCAAAAAAAAACCCATCGTTACCCAAGCACATCTCATATTTTGCAAGGGATTAAGAGTGGCATGAGATCTAATCAGTGATCATTACTGTAAGTGTGAACCACCACAACCTTGAATCAGTGGCACCACCCAGGTTTGCAAACTTCTTCCAAAGCTTTTATGTGGTTTATATATAGGTCACACTATTCATGCAGAAAAAAACCTATCTCAGGGGGATCATGGAGAACCAAGGCCACGCCATATGTCGTTGAACTCCATCCCCTGTCAGCCACAGGCATCATGGCCAAAGGCAGGGATGATGGGAGCTGGAGTCCAGAAACACAGTTTCCTCTCTTCCTGGCCTGTGTAGTCCAGCATTGTGTTCTCACAGTGGCCAACAAGATGCAGTCTGGGAAATCTGGAAACGCAACATCATGAGTGCAATGGAACATTCCCAATAGTGATCTCTGGGATACTTCATTCAGAGGCTTAACAAGCAAGGCATTTCGAGAAAGAAGCTTGTTTATACTAGGGAACTTCCTGGATTTCCTGAGGGACAAGGGAAATTTTTGATTCACCGTGCATTTGATTGGGAATGGACCAGGATCAATGGGCCTTGTTTTACGTGTTCTTTCCGTTTTACTCATTTTAAAATGTCATCCCATTGTCAACACCTTCAGACAGGTCAGCTCTTGGGTTTTCCCATGGATTTTGAGACTTGCTCTCGGCGGCCTCTGGTTTCTGAATGGTTTTTACCAAATTCTTGGAAGCTGTGATAGGTGGCTGAGGGAGAGAGAGAGAGAGAGAGAGAATGAGACAATAACCTAATACCAATACTCTGTAGTGATGTAGGCACCTACCTTTTTCTCTAATTGCTTCTGTTTTATATTCAATATTCCGCTCTATTTCCTGATTTATTATCATTGAAAAAGCCACTTCCGAACTGGTGAGGAGGTGGGGTTGCGGGCCCACACCCTCCCCACAAACGCGGGGGCTGGAGATTGAGGGAATCCTCAGGCGCGTCAGCTCCCTGCATAGCCAATCAGCTGGTCAGGGAGGCATGGCCCGGGCTATTTATGCCTGGCGCGCCCGAGGTCCACCCTCTCTTGCCTCTACATCTGATCAGGTTTCCCACCCTGCCCGCCCTTTAGTTGCTCCTCTGACCTTGCTATGGACTTCGTTTGGTCACCGTCAAGGGGCCTGGTAGGGATTTTTTTCACTTGGCGAATTGGCACCTGCCATTTGGTCCTTTTCGTCTACCTCGTAGCAAATCGTCACAATTCCTCAGCATTGGCAGTTAGGCATTGGTAGGGGTATTGTTATGCAAATGAGGGGGAAGGAGGTGCCATCACCTTCCCCCAAAGCAAAGGGTAGTCCGGTAAAGGATTCCGGGGGGCGTTGCCCTGTCCAAAGCCTATGGAGGTATGGGCCTAAGGCACGCCCCCGAGTGGTGTCCCTGGGGGAGATCCTAGTTGAGGACTCCCCCTACTGGTGGTTAACCCTCATTGGTCTTCATGCAATCGGGCTGAAGCCGGTTAGCTGATAGGACCAATGCCTAAGCCAGGGGTCAGAGACTTCCGGTCGGCGCCAGCGCTAATGGCGGTCCTCTTTCCGAGCTCCGGAGGAGGACTGCTCTGCGAGTTCGGGTCTGACCCGCTACGGCAAGCGGGGGACCCCTAAAATCACAGGCGCTGAAGCCTGTGAACGAGGAGATTCGGTGGGCACCAGGAGCGCCCCCCCTTTACCACAGAAAGAGCCTTTTTAAAGGCTCCGGAACGACATCGGGGGAGCGCGGTGCTGAGAATCGTTACCCAGCCCGCAGGGTGAAGCCGCGTCGCTATTAGCGGAGAGCGCCGATTCCTTCCTGTAAATTTTGGACTGAAAAAAAACCCGTGAGTAAGATTGAACGTCTATTTGAAATTAAAGTCATTTGGCTAAAGAATTTTGGCTGAAAACGGGGAAGGGGAAAAATTAAGGAAGTCTGCCTTCCCCCGACTGCATGAAAGTGAAAGCAACGAAAACTTTAAAGCTGCATCCGCAAGAGGCATTGTCTTTGATCAACTAAATCTGACATTTGGACTTTAGAACTCCCCTCTAGCTAGCAGGGCAGAGGGGAGGTAAAAGAGACATTAGTAACTGCATGATATATTTAAAAGGAAAAATTTTCTGCTGCCTCAATAACCTGAAATGGACTGCCAAATAAGACAATAGGGCACTGAACTGACTTTTCCCTGTGAAGGTTACATTGTGATACAAAGTGCTTGGACTTCTTTGCTACAGTATACCAGAGCAGGCTGAGACAGTATCTACTGGAAAAGTGCTGCAATTTATAGTTACAAGCCTCCTGATATACTTGTTTTAAACTTTCTCTGTTTTTGTATTTGGACATTTTCTTTCTCTCTGTATTTGGACATTTTGATTTGCTCCCCCTAGAGGGTAAAGTAAAGGCTGATACAGCTCAAGACAGTGGAATTTTCCATCGGGAGACGGTTCCCGTGGGAAACGACCTTGGGACATGAGTGGTCCACCAGAAGAGATAGCTACAAGAGCTAAGACTAGACAACAACAACAACATCAGCAGCAGCAACTGCAACAAAAGAAGAGAGGTTCGATCACGGGTGTAACTCCTACAGGACCTACAGGAACAACAGGACAAGAAAAAGTGACAGCTGTCTCCATGGATGCTGTGACACAAGCTCTACTTAAGATAAACCAATCCCTGGAGACTCTAACAAAGCAAAGCTCAGAAAATACACAAAAGTTAACAGAGCTAACAGCAAGATTGGATTTGAACACAGAATCTATAAATAAATTGGTTCAGGAAAATTCTGCAACACGTAAAATTGCGGAAGAAGCCAGAACCATTGCTGGAGAGACTCAAGAGAACTTAGAACCAATTGCAAAAAAGGTGTATGAGCATGATGCAACTCTGGCTTTGTGGGAATTACAGAGGAAAGAGAGGAATTTGAAATTGAGACTAATTCCAGAGAATGAAGGTGACAATCTCGTGGAGTTTTTAACACAAGAGTTTGCGGACTGCTGGGAAGATTTGGAGGAAGACGAATTTAAAATTACAACAGCGTTTAGACTGGGTAAAAAACAGAACAGAAAGACTCCGAGGGACTGTCTGATCACCCTTAGATCCAAGGAAGAAAGAGATAAAATATTAAGACTACATTTTGAAAAGGCCTTGCAAATTGGAAATACAGCTGTACAGATCTTTAAAGACATTCCTAAATACATCTTGGATCTGAGAGTTTTCTATAAAGACCTGGTTTATCTGTTAAAGAAGAATACCATCCTTTTTAGGTGGGAATTTCCACAGGGATTGTCCTTCGATTACAAGGCAAAGAAGGTGAAAATAAAGACTATACAAGACAAAGAGAAATTTTTGGAAAGAAACCGAGAGGACCTACAAAAAGGAACTGTGGACCCAATTGCAGAACAGAGGAGAGCAATAGACATTTTGAATCTTTCGTTTGGAAACATTCCACCACCATCAGAGGAAGAGCAACAACTTGGAGCTGTTGGAGGAGTGTCAGAGAAATAACAAGATGGCCCTGCAATTCCTTAGTTGGAATTGTAATGGGCTCAATATGCCATTGAGGAGACGACAAGTTTTTTCATATTTTAAACAGAGAACAACTGGATTTGATATGCCTACAAGAAACTCATATAACCAGAGCCCACAGGAAATTACTTATAAACAAAAGATTAGGACAAGAATTTATCTCATCAGACAAAGTTAAAAAAGAGGAGTTGTGATCTATGTAAAAGAGAAGTGGGCCCCAAAAATGATGTTCAAAGATGAACAAGGAAGATATTGGCAGTTGAGATACAAGTACAAGGAGAAAAATTTCTGATAGTTGGAATCTACGCACCAAATGAAGGTAAAGCAGAATTCTTTAAGAAACTCCATGAAACTTTGACGGACTATCTGGATTATAATATGATAATTATGGGAGATATGAATGGTGTAGTCTCCACTAACATGGACAAGGCACAAAGACTGACAGTTTACCAAGGAAGGGAGACTTCCTAAGACCTTCTTTGAAATGACGGA